AGTATAAAATCATGCGGCCAGAGCACTGAGAGCATCCAGAGCTTACTGGGAGACAAGTGGGAGACAAGGGTGAAATCACGCGGCCAGGAACACAAGCCCGGAGACAAACTCAAAATCATCCGGCCCGAGCATGCACCCCTTTAAAAGGAGTAAGAACCCCTCACAGGTAAACCTGTTTGGGGAACAACAGCATCTGAAAAAGAATGCTATGTCCGATTACAGATGATTACAGTACTTTCCACACCTCCCGAGTTGGGGAGGAGCTGGCTGCGATGCTAGTATCCGAGCCTGACTCAAAGCGAGTAGTTTACAACAAACGATCAATGACTCAATCTCACTACGAGTATCTGCGCAAGTCTGAGGCGTTCACTCACTGTGTGGGTGCCTTAGCTGTAGTGTGCTTTGGACTTGCTAAATCATTGGGTGCTCCAAGAGCCTCTGGTGTGTGTAGAAGATCCCGAGCATGGTGTCTGTGCTCTAGATGAAGCGAGTATGTTCCTGGCCACGTGTTTTGTCTTCTCCAGAAACCGCAAACGAAGACTTGGACGCTTCAAGAGGACTGGTTCCATCCTGGATGTGGAAGTCTTCTGTTGACTGGTTGGCTGTGTTTGTGTCAGCCTCAGTCCAGAAAACAAGAAAATGATCAACATCGACCGTAAGGCACTGCTGGACGACCAAATAAATGAAACATGCGTCCTGCATCTGATCTGAGCGATGTGCGGACAAGACAACAGGAGAGTTGGAGGTTCATGGAGCAGCTGCTGAATATCCTGCGACGACGTCGCATGACTCGCATCACTCGCAGCCGAAAAAAAGAAAAAGAAACGCGTCCTGCTCTGCTGCCTCCTCCGCAAGTCCCTGTTCCTGTCTCGATTGTCTTCTCTCTAAACTACAAAGGTGTTGCAACCCCCCCGACTGTCTCCAAGGTGTGCCCAATGCCTCGAGTGCCTCCTGCACGACTTCGTCGTCAGTGTCTGGCTCCTAGGAAGCTGCCCAGTTTGTCCGAATAAGTCATCACGTTCTGATTTTATTGCTTGCAGCTTCAAGACTAGTATATGAATATGTGTTCTTGTAGTAGAAAAAGTTCTATGCAAGATTTGCTGCAAGAAACTTGAATCACATCGCACTCCACTTCTTTTCCTAGGATACACCATCTTTGTGTTGCCTCATGTTTAGCTCACAGTCTGTTTCTCCACCGCGAATCGGCACCTCAACTCTTGGACACTCCGCACCTAGGGAAGACCGACACCCATGTTCCGCCCGGTGGAGCAACAGCTGTGGTTCGACACCAAAGCATCGACACTGAAATGGTCCAAACATGGTGAGCTGAACAGCGGAACAGCGAACAGCTCAGTGATCCAGCCGCCCGAAGTTGGTGCTGATGTGGTTCTGGTGTTGAGCCTGATGTGAAAGCGCACAAAGGCCTTGTACTGTTGAGCTACAAAACTTAAACAACACTGTCGGGACCGTGACTGTCCGTTGCAACCGTTGTAACCGAAGACAGCTGTTCTTTCGGTTGGTGAAGCTTCAGGCTGTTCATCGCGGCTGGGAAGCCAACCCCAGGTCGTTCATCATGGCTTCAAGCATTGACCATGCTCTTGATCTCCCACCCTGCCAGTTCTCACTCTGTGAGAATTACACCACCGTAGACCCCAAACAGGTTAGACAACAACGAAGCATTCCCAAGTCCACTTTTTGAGACATCAACAAGAAGGGAGACAAGGTGGACACAGTGATCAACAAGAAGGAAGACAAGAAGGGAGACAAAAGGAAACAGAAAGAAACACAAGGCGGACACAATGACCAACAAGAAGGGAGACAAAAGGAAACAAGACGAACACAATGACCACCAAGAAGGGAGACAAAGGGAGACAAGAAGGAAGACAAGGCGGACACAATGAGGAGACAAGACAGACACAATGACCAACAAGAAGGGAGACAACAAGGAAACAGAGGGAGACAAGACGGACACACTGACCAACAAGAAGGGAGACAAGATCGGAGACAAAGGGAGACAGAAAGGAGACAACAATGACCAACCAGGACGGACATGAAGGGAGACAAGAAGGGAGACAAAACGAAACGGAAGGGAGACAAGATGGACACAGTGACCAACAACAAGGGGGAAAAAGCCGGAGACAAAAAGAAACAGAGGGGAGACAAGGCGGGCGCAATGACCAACAAGAAGGGAGACAAGACCGGAGACAAAGGGAGACAAGAAGGAAGACAAGGCGGACACAATGACCAACAAGAGGGGAGACAAGACCGGAGACAAAGGGAGACAGAAGGGAGACAAGAAGGACACAATGACCAACAAGAAGGGAAACAAAAAGGGAGACAAAGATAACAGAAGGGAGACAAGACGGACACAATGATCAACAAGAACGCAGACAAGAAGGCAGTCAAAAGGAAGCAGAAGGGAGACAAAAGCAAAAGAAGGGAGGCAAGACGGACACAGTGACCCACAAGAAGGGAGACAAGACCGGAGACAAAGAAAGAATGAAGGGAGACAAGGCGGACACAATGACCAACAAGAAGGGAGACAAGAAGGGAGTCAAAAGGAAACAGAAGGGAGACAAGACGGACACAATGACCAACAAGAACGGAGACAAGAAGGGAGTCAAAAGGAAACAGAAGGGAGACAAAAGCAAAAGAAGGGAGACAAGACGGACACAATGACCCACAAGAAGGTAGACAAGACTGAGAATGAAGGGAGACAAGGCGGACACAATGACCAACAAGAAGGGAGACAGTGACCAACAAGAAGGGAGGACAAGACCAGAGACAAGAAGGGAAGACGGACACAGTGACCAACAAAAGGGAGACAAGACCGGACACAAAGGGAGACAGAAGGGAGACCAGGCGGACACAATGACCAACAAGAAGGGAAACAAAAAGGAGACGGAAGGGAGACAAGACGGACACAATGACCAACAAAGGGAGACAAGACCGGAGACAAAGGGAGACAAGGGAGACAAGGCACCAACAAGAAGGGAGACAAGAAGGGAGACAAAAGGAAGCAGAAGGGAGACAGAAGGGAGACAAGCAAATGCTGCATGGCCAGCGGAAAAGGGACAGAAAGGGCGGACACATCATAAAGAAGAATTGAGAACCCCTAACAGTAAACTGTTTCGGAAATGAATAGAAATGTTGCATCGACAGCGTGACAGACCTGGGAGACAAATGAATAGAAGCGCTACATGGCCAACGGAAAAGGGCGGACACCAGCAGTGACAGACCTGGGAGACAAATGAA